TACAAAGGGGAATCACTTGTTCAGAAAATGGCCCCTGTTTTTTTGCTCATTTGGACTTGACTTTTGTAGAAAAGACATGTGTACACATTTTTCAGTTGTTCTTATGAAAAATAAGCTCAAAGTACGTTTTTGTCGTTGATTATTTTGAGATTCCATCAAAGGACGTCGTTGTTGGAAAAAGTAGTATTTTTGAAAAATCCAGCATAGGTTTCACACAAACCCTGACATGAAAAAGTAGCCAGTGATAAACTGAATAAAATACTGTGTGAATCCTCATACATTACTTTAATACGAAGAAATTCTTTCTACAACGGATAAACTGGCCTAAAAGACGTTATCAGTGATGTTTTAAGTACTTTTTTATGCAGCAAACGAGGATCCAACTTGTACTTGATATAGAAAATTAGTCAGTGAAAAGCTTGGTGAATAACAAATAGAAACTGTTATTAGACGCGTTTCTGACTGCTATTAGCAAAAATAGAGAGTGACACGAGAACAGGTGCCTTGGCTTAAGACTCCTTGAACCTAACTTAAAACTTTAATTTATACGGTTGAATGTTTTTTTGTATAAAAAAACGCTTCAACTACTTTTGTATTTTATATATAACTATATATATATATATATTGCTTGTTTAGAATATTGTTCGTGGTGCCATAGAAAATAAAATTGTTGCTTATTGGGACGCGTTCCGTTTTATTTGAAAATAAAACTCATTAGGCAATATTTAATATCTAGAGCACATATAACAAAGCAAATTAAAAAAAGGAAAAAATGAGAAGATAAAAAGAAGGAAAAGAGACGAGAAAATAAAATACACACACACACACTAAATAAAAAAATAGGCTTTGTGCCGATGACTATTTTAGGCTAAACGCTCCATGTCGTTTGCCAAATTTTCTACGTTGTTTTCCTTCGTTTTGAGGAGTCTGACGACTAGAGTGGATGATGCTGGCTGATAGTGTGAGGCCAAAAAGACATCATCATCTTTACTATCTTCGTCTGGAATTGACGAGACAGTTTGATGTTTCTCGTCCAGTTCTTTCTGTAGCTCTTCAATCTTCGCTTGTGCTGCCATTACCATCCGATTTCGGCGTTCATGTCATTTCCGGTTTGACAACGTCCATCGTTGTTCTGGTGTCAGATCACCAGCAGGTCCTTCTGTCTCATCTTTACGGCATTGTACCGGAGGTGGGCTCGCTTTCACGGGCGTGACTGCTTTTGGCAAGCTCGTCAGACGTCCACATTTAGAAGATGATGCTGATGCCGAAGAAAATACAGGTTGATGGGAGGTAGCGACTGATGAGCTCTGCTCCCTCCCGCGTTTTGACGACGAGGATGACGATGCATCTACTCTGAAATGACTGTCGGTTGTCGATCGTGAAAGACTCACCAACTCGTCATTTTGGATGCACTGTCTAAGCGCATTGAAAGAAAAGTGGTGTTGCTGTCTGTTGTACTCAGTGGTAATTTTATAACCGCCTGACCGATTGTATGGAGCCGGTCTGATTTTTGATAGTTCTGACTCTGTCATTAGATCTATACTCAGAACTACGACTGTATGTCCGGTTGTGTCGAACTGGCTCGGTTCTATCTAAATGGGATCCGCCAATCATCTGTCCAGATAAAGTATCCGGAGCAGATATGCTTGGTGGGATACCATCTAAGTAAAAGGCCTTCGAGTTCGACACCCAGATACCAAAAGTACTACTTCCGTCTTTATACAGACGGAAGTTTCCAGCTGATGTTGACCGTGTAAGCTCAGTGCCAGTCCAGAGGATTGGGTCAGCACCTGAACCTTGTGACAGTTTTGTGGCTTGAAGCTGCTTTAATTTTTGAATGGGATAATGGAAGCAGAATGGCTGCAGACATCAAGTTACTTGATCGAATAATAATCAAAAACTGTTACTGACATGTTTCTGATCGTTCTTGCCGAGATATAGAGTGATACGAGAACAAATGCCTAAATTTCAAGCTCTTTGAAACCAACTTATAACTTGGATTTTATAGTTATCTTTAAATGGCATAACGTTGTTGGAGATGGAATTAGCCCAAAAAATGGAATGTATGCAAATATGAAATATGTCGTGCTCTTATTATCAATAGGAAAATTCGATCTTGTCGGCGAGAATTATTCTGTTAACAAAGCATTTTCTATTGTGACGAACAATAGTCTATAATAAATAAAACTAATTTCACCGATAATGTATCCCATGTATAATGCACATCATACAAAAAACTTTTTCTATTCATCATAAAGTAAAAGATGACAGTTTTATCTGTCCTCTAGATTTTCCACTCACTCGGACGGAGCTCTCCGGCTCGCGTTGTTTTGCGATAAAACCCTCAAGGTTATCGTGAGGAAACGGAGTCTCCTGTGATGAAAACTGTGGGATGACAGAATCGTATATCGCTTATTCGTTGCGCTTCAGTCGCATCCGATATATGTAATAATTATCAGTTATTTCAATAACTGTGGTATAATGGTAAGGAACCTGTCACTTAAAAATAAACCGTTTCTTGCATTAAAAAAGAAAGAAAATAACAATTACGAATCTGGAGATGTATTAATTGGCCGTAAGCTCAAAGCAATGTGAGTGGTGCCTGCTCGTCCTAAGCTTGGACCAATAACAGCATTCCAGGTACTACTTACATATGAAATATAAATGTCTGTGCTTAGGCATGCACCAGTTCCAATCTTAGGCTTGGAGGATTGGTACCAGTCAGGCTTGGTACCAATCCCAACAATCTCCAGTTAGGCTTGGTGCCAATCCTAACAATCTCCAGTTAGGCTTGGTACCAATCCCAACAATCTCCAGTTAGGCTTGGTATCAGTCGGATTGGTCGACCAGTTAGGCTTCGTCGAATGCAGTAGGCAAGACCTTCACCGTACAACCTATGATGTAACCGTCATTGCACTATGCGCTTAGAGTAATTTTTTTTGTGCTTCTGTTTTACTTCAAAGAAGATCACTCTCTCAGAAGTGTATTCTTATTTTTCTGTTGACGAGGTTTATTTAGTCCACTTATTTTAGTCCACTAACCGTAGTTTCAAACTTTTTTATATTAATAGACAGCTTCACTTAGGCATGCACCAGTTCCAATCTTAGGCTTGGAGGATTGGTACCAGTTAGGCTTGGTACCAATCCTGACTGGAGATTGGTAGGATTGGCACCAATCCTGACTGGAGATTGGTAGGATTGGCACCAATCCTGACTGGAGATTGGTAGGATTGGCACCAATCCTGACTGGAGATTGGTAGGATTGGTACCAATCCTGACTGGAGATTGGTAGGATTGGTACCAAGCCTAACTGGTAACAAGCCCGACTGGTACCAATCCTACCAATCCCCAGTCGGATTGGACTGGTGCATGCCTAGATGTACTGCAAATGACAAGTACATGGACAAAATTTCATGGAAATATGCACTTAATGAGCATAAATTATACACTCCAAGCAAATGCTCTGTTCACTTCGAATGAATAAACTGTGAATAGCAAAAGATATTTTTTTGCAGTGTAACTTTCATTAAAACTGTGGAATTTCATTAAAACCTTTTAATGGAAGTTTATACAGATTCTAATGAAAAACACATTTATGAAAGGACTCCGATTTTATCAATGATTTCAGTTGAACTCATTTCTTATTTTATTTTATTAAATAATTTTTATCTAAGCTTTCGAATCAACGATTCATCATCAGCAATCAGTGATAAAACAGAAACTTTTATGATAAAAGTCCTGCCATTAACTAAAGTCAATGAAAAGTTAATGAAATTTTGCCACTGTTATATTACCATCGTCGTCGTCTACATTTGCAGGAACGTCATTTAATAAATCTTCTTCGTATAGGCGTTTGACCTTGCAGCATTTTCTTATTATTAAGATTTTAGAGACTTCCCGGAAATCCCAATTTGTTTTACGAAAAACACCTTTATCAGATATAGCTATAGAAGACGAATATAAAACAGGAAAACGATCAGAGGTACCGTCGTCTAAGGTTTCGCATTCCCACCCAGAACTATCATTTGACACAACAAAATCAATAACAGAATCAGATTTTTCAGATGTGGGAGTGGAGGAAAAAATTCCTTCACAACCATTTGTTTCCATCCAATCTTTCAGTGCTAAACCACTAGTATTATTAGTGGAGCACTTCCAGTCACTATGTTTCGCATTGAAATCAAACATAAAAAATTTCCTTGTCAAAAACTTTTCGAATTCAAAAAAAGGAGGCTTGGTCTTAGGAGGGACGCATACTGCACCAGTAAGGATGGGAGAAAGTGCGACTTCAACCTCAACCAGGAGAAAGTTCTCAACCCTATGTATGACTTTAGACTTTAGAGAAGAATGTAACAATATTGCCACTCCACCAAAAGAGTTCGTTCCTATTTGCACATGCCAATAATAGTTCGGCACAGAAGGCATTTTACGAATCAAAGATCCTATGCCCGTTAGAATAACAACATGAGGGAGATAAGAAAGTAAAATATCAAGATCTGACAGATGCGTACTCAGACATTCACAATTATATAAAAGAACAAGAAGATTCTCCACTTCATTCTTTGGCCTAATCTTTTTCCACGATTCACATAAATTAGAAATAGAAGTTTTTCTATTCCATTCATTTAAAATATTTAAAATAAACGTTTTGTCTACAAAACTTCCGTCAAACTTATCAACTACAGAAAGAGAAACACAAGGCGAGACATACTTAAAATCAGGACTATCCATTCTGTGAAGAGAAGATGGATTCCATAGTCGACTGATATAATTCTATTTGCTTGTGCATAATGGTTGAATATTGAATCATTTCTCGTTGAAAAGAGTCTTTCAATTGCTTTAGATGTGTCGTTGTAGCTCCATTTGAATTTTTCATACTTTCAATATATTCTTTTTGTTCATCTCCACAAACAGTCTTAACAAATTCACATAATATATTATTAGTGGCTGATAAGTCGACCGTACAATCAATTCTAGTACTAATAACTTGTTGCATGGATGCTACGCATTCATTTTATGCACGGACTTGCTGTTGTAGAATAAGCCATCCTTTTTTACCCGTTTCAATTTGTTTTTCATATAAACCGTTGATTTTTTTTTTTCTTCGTCAAAATCTTTCTTTATCTTATTCAATTCATTATCAAATGCTCTAATTGCCGAATCCAAATATCCCTTTGACAGTGATGCATTTGCCGCTTCTTGTTGACTAGTCCAATAATTCATAGTTGGAAGATATGAAGAATTACTTGTGGTAGTGATAGGAGGAGCAGAATATTCACAACGAGAGGAAGTTAGAATTCGATCACGATCATTGGGCTTTCGACAGTCAATTGGAATAAACATACGTACATGTACTAGTAGTTTGTCAGCATTATTTTTTAATTTATCTAAAAGATTTTTCCGAAAATTAACTATTGTAGGACACTTGTAATCTGTCGATATATGATTACCATCACAATGATAACACTGAATCACATATTCAGTATGGTTATCCCCGTTATCTTTATCTTGACCACATCGTCGACATATAGAATAAGGAGCTTGACAGGCTTTCTTAATATGACCAGGTAAATTACATTTCATACAAATAAGAATCTTTGGTGAAGGTAAATATTCGTCGACGTCAAGTACAAGTCCTTGAATTACAATTCTCCCCTCATAGAGAATTTTCTCATATTCATTTTGTTGCTTGAAGATAACACGAATATGTCGAGCACTTGATCTAATAGTTCCTTTCGTTTCATTAACCATAAATATTGAATAAAAACGTGATTTCATCTCATCACATACATCATCTTTTGAAATAGTAATAGGAACGACCTTGATTACAACAGAATTCTGTGCAGGTAGCTGTTTTGGTGGTTCCAGCTTAATCTGCACACTACCAATAGAAAATGGGTAATGACTATCATCGCTTAAATACATATAAAAATCAATATCGTCAGTAACTCCACAAAAAAAATTTCCATCACCTTGTAACCACCACTGATCTAATCCAATTAGATCTTTATGACCTGGATATTCTTTACGAAAATTCAATTCAATATATTTCATAAAATCTTTTATAAACTGAACACCAGCTTCCTTTGATCGGAGAGCAGGATTACAATGTATTCTAATCACAGGTAGACGAGTATCGATAGAATGTGCTATGGCTTGATCAGAAATAAAACTCTGTTCAGAATATTGTCCAGGATTAATATATTCTTGTTCATTGAACTGTCCTTGAAGATTTCGATTTATATAAAATTTTTCTTGATGAGGACCGTTATAACGTGCAGTTTTCAGTGTTTTAGGACAAGTAGATTGATCATCGTTCCCAAGCATTAAAAAGTAAGCTAGTAGCGCCCGCTGCAACTAGCTGTAAAAAAATGTAAAAGTATTGAAGCTGGTTAGCGGGCGCTGCAGCTAGCTGCATAAACGTACACACCATGGAGCGGGCACTATAGCGGCCGATTAGATACTTGCTGCAGCTAGTTACAGATTGTCGATGAAAGCTTAATACGATAAATAACCTGTTACAGCTAGCTATTTTTATTAGTAGTTTCAAAGAGAAATATAAACTAGCTACAATGGCCGCTGTAGCGCCCGTTGCATCGGGCCGTAACAAATAACAGATCAAGAGCGTAGAAAATTTAAAAGGAAACTCGATAGAGCTAGCTGCAACACCCTTTTCAACGCTTGTTGCAATCTAGCATCTACTCTGACTAGCTACATCGGTCTGCTTAGCGGCCGTTTCAACTAGCTGTTATAATATACACGTTACGAAAGATGCTCTAGTTGAAGCGGCCGCCAAATTGGGCGCTGCAACTAGTTTGGCAATGGGTAATAACTGCATTATTATTTAAACTAGTTTGACTAGTTGCAACGCCCTGTTTAGCGCCCGCTACAATTAGTCCTTAATACTAGCTGCAACAAACGCTAAATTGGGCGCTGCAGCTAGCTTATCTCTTTCAAACTATCGGCTAGTTGTGAATCTAGTCGCAGCGATTCTAAAGCGTCCAGCTACCGTTTAATTTCTCTAGCTAGCGTTATCTTGAATTGAATCTCGATGTGTATCTGTTGAATAAATAA